GGGTCGGAACCAACTAGATGGCATTTAACAACAACAACAAATTGGCAAAATATTGAATGATGCAGAAAGCATCAAAAGAGCCGCCAAAAAAGAAATGATCAATAGTGTATTTATTTAATCATCCTTCCTGCCATCCATTTGTTCATCATTTAAATTCCCACCATCCATTCATCCATCCTTTCTTCTATCCATCTATCTATCCATCCGCTCATCCTTAAAACATTTCTCTCTCTATACTTGTATTCATCCATTCATCTTTTTTCTTCCATTCATCCATCCACTCATTTTTCACTTATGCATTAATTAATTCACTCATTCATTCATGTACTCATTCATTCATTGAGTCACTCAACCAACCATGCATATACTCTCACACTCATTCAATCACTAAATCCTTTTCTCGCTCCTTCCTTCATTCATCCACTCACTTGTTCATTCAACAAATACCGAATGCCTGCTCTAAGCCTAGGTGCTGAGATACAGCCCAGGACACAGCAGACAGACCCTGTTCTCATGAAGGAGACATTCTAGGAGAGACTGGCTGCTAACCAGGCATGAGGTTGACAACCAGACAAAAATCACCAGGAAGTCCTCAACTTCCTACAGAGCTCTAGCAGGGCGGAGGTGAGGACCCTGGGTGCTGTGAAGTACAAACCTCCTAGAGAGGGGTCTCAGGTGGAGCAGAGTGAGCTGAGGCCCTGACGTGCAATCCCCCACTTGGGTCAGCACCCAAGGCCTCACCATATCCTGGTGATTACAGGGTCTGTAAGGACGGCAGTCTGCTCTGCTTCCTGGTTCCATAGCTGCCACTGCCTAGCTGTGGGGTCCGAAGTGAAGCACGTGACATTTGCACTGGGTCCTCCCAAAGCTGACCGCCCGGATGCAGATGATCCAGGTGGCTGGGGAGTGAGGGTGAGGGAAGGGGGTGTGGCTAAGCATGGTCACTGCCATGGTCAGTGGGCTCCTTCCTGCTGGGGACCCTCAGGTAGAGGAGAAGGGCTCAGAGGTGTGAGCCAGGGGAGGGAGCTGGGGTGCTGATCCGCTCTGTGGGTGTGGGTTCCCCACCCTTGTGACATAGCCCCACTTCTGCCCTTCAGGCTGCCTCAGCTGAGCCAAGCAGACCAGTCCCATGGGGTCTGCTAGGCAGAGACCACCCTGCCTCACTGCCTTCATTTACCTAGAGGGCTATAGGACCACGTGAGAAGGCTACATGATTGCAAAGTGCTAAAGCCAAAAGTGGAGTCCTGGTGTGGAGATGCAGGATAAGCCCTGGACTGCTAACTGCAAGGTCAGTGGTTCGAACCTACCAACTACTCACTGGGAAGCCTACCTAGGGTTGCTGAGTCCAAACTCACTTAACAACACGGAACAACAACGAAGCCCAAGGTGATGATCTAGAGTTCTGAGATTTCCTAGGTTATGGGGACAGCCAGGTGATCAGCTAGGGGGTCTTCAGAATGAAGAAAACAGTGGTCTGGCATGTTTGCATGCCAGCTCTCAGACTAACATCTCAGCTCCCAAGCACCACTCATAAAGTCTCCCACTGCAGGCAGCCAACTTGTGGGACACAGCTAAGGGCTGGACCCCAACACCCATGACCACAGCATCAGAGAGCTGTGCTCAGGAACCGTGGTCACTCCAGGAACTCTGGCACCCAACAGAAAACACAGCCATAGAGCCTTTTTCTGGAAGCTCAGGGAAGCAAACTTACAAAGACAGTACTGGAGGATGGATGGAAGGCCCCTGTATGAAAGGGCCTCTTTTTCAAAGCACTTGGCCTCAGGAGTAAGAAGAGAGAGAGGGAGAGACACCGAGAAGGGGCTGCCTGTGGGAGGCAAGAGGGGCACTTGGGGGTTGGGGAGTGCAGGGCATACAGTCCTTCACACAGGTGTGGGGGTAGGCAGAGCCACGTGCCTGCCCTATCAACTTCTCCAGCCCTGGGAGATGCCCTCTGGACACTCAGATGTTGCTTAAAGCCCTGGGAGGGTGCCGTCACTCTCAGAACTGGCAGGAGGCCGTGCACAAGGGATGGGCGGCCATCTATCCCAGACAGGCTCCCGTGCTACCAAGAGGCACAGGGCACAGTGTGGACTCAGCCTGGTGGCGTAATTATGGCCTGGCACCACACCTGTGCAGGTAAACAATGCTGGGAGGGCTCAGGTGGTAGGGAGTGGCCAGGGGGGAAGAAGGGCTGGTTTTTGAGGGCTGGGGGGAGAACAGTCAGTGGTGGTAGATGGGCACCATCTAGTACTTCTAATCTCAGAAAGATGAGATTCACCTACTGCCTTGTTCTGAAGCAAGGCATAACCGAGGTCTGATCAAATGACTCCCCCAGCTCAATCACACGGATGTTCATGGAAGATTCCGGCATCTCCTGTCTGCAGAGAATGCGGTGTGCCTGTAGTCTTGCCCTGGGAGGGGCTGAGCAGAACTGCTCTGTTTGGGAGAGGCTGAAGAGTAGGCAACTGCTGATCCCAGCCTCCAATCCCATCCTCACATCCAGGGCCCCCAGCAGGAACAGTGACCACTGGGCACCTCATGAGTCCCTATAAGCCAGCCTTGGGAGGTGGGTGCTAACAGTTGGCTCACACTGCCCAGCTAAGAGGGTGGCCCTGGAGCCGAATTCCCATAGCTGACCCCACACTCAGCTCTGCCTCTGTTTCCAGAGAAAGGACGTGGAGGGAGAGGCCACTACTGACTGTTCTGACCAGCATCTCAACAGATGGCCCTGGATGGCCCTGGAGAAAACTGTGGAGTAGGACCCAACTTCTTAAGAAAAAAGCAGACTCAGGGGACCAGTTGAGACCAGAGAACTTCTTTAAACCTTGAACTGAATCTATCCACTTTCAGTGAAATAGTGAGCTGCCATACAAAATAAGGAATCTTCCCTCTAAGAAAGGTTGTCAAGTGCTGTTGAGTCAATTCCGACTCATAGCAACCCTTTGTAGGGTTTCTGAGGAGTGGCTGGGGGGTTTGAACTGCTGACCTTGTGGTTAGCAGCTCAGTGCTTACCCTACAGTGCCACACTAGGACTCTGTAAGAAAGTTGCTCTACTAAAAAACCCCATTTGTGTGAGACTTGTTGCTGTTAACTGCTGTCGAGTAGGATCCGACTCACAGTGACCCTGTATGGGGTTTCTGAGACTGTAAATCTTTGTGGGAGCCGAAAGTCTCATCTTTTGCCCCCAGAGCAGCTTGTGGGCTCAAACCACCGACCTTGTAGTTCCCAGCCCAGTGTTTATCTTACAGAACCACCTGTTTGAGACTGCAAGGTCCACGTTTACTCTGAAGAAAAGAGAAGATAAGGGGGCAGGGAAACTAGAGCCCTGAGAAACAGAGCAACCAGAAGGTAATTACAGAGGATGTTGGCATTGTGAAAGCGTAACTTAGGTTACTGAATAACTGTGAAATTATAAGACGGGAACCCAACTTGCTGGTTGCTGGGCAAACTTTCACCAAAAACATAATATAATATTATTTAAGAAAAAGAATGGGGCAGCAGCTGAGTTTGGGTGGCAGGTAAGTAGTGGACAGTGCCAACTGCACTTAAATATGCTGATCTTCCAGCCTGAGTTTGAATGGTCAGTTTGGATATGTATCACTTGCTAATTAACTGTGTTATCCCAGGCACATAACTTAACCTCTCTGGGCTTGCTTCCCTCCATGTAAAATAGGAGTGGAAAAAATAAAATAGGAGCAGCTGGTGAACTTGAACTGCCAGGTCTCCCAGTTCAAGCTGACTTTGCAGTCCAGCGCATTAAGCAACAGCGCCACACCAGGACTCCAAATAAAGAACTTGTGGTTGTGTGCCGTGGAGTCGGTTCCGACTCATAGTGACCCTTCATAGGGTTTCCGAGGCTATAAATCTTTATGGGAACAGAAAGCCTCATCTTTCTCCTGTGGAGCAGCTGGTAGTTTCGAACTGGTGGTGGCTTTGAGGTTAGCAGCCGGACTTGTCGCTACTACGCTACCAGAGCTCCTAAATAAAGAACTAGGGGGAGAGAAAATGATCTCAAGGTCAGAGTGGTCCACAAGCAAAAGATGACTGAGGGCGCTGAATCACAGTTGCTGTTCCAAAAGCAACCTGGATGCTTCAACCAGCAGGAGGCAGCACTGAGCATCAAGGTCTGGCTTGTCCTATAATTGAGTGGCTGTTGATTTGCATACATTGCTTCATCTCTTTGGGTCTTAGTTTTATAAAATGGGGATAACTCTTTCTGGATAGGTGGAAAGGGTTAGCACCTTTTAGGTTGAAAGGGTGGACCCTTCTCCCAAGAAGACTGTAAATGGGCTGGAAGGGCTGGGCTTGGAGGAAGTCAGGAAGGCAGAAACACAGAGAAAAAGTTACAGGAAGTAGTTGATTTGTGTAGGACAAGACAAAGGACAAAGATTTGAATTGCAGTGGGAGGGATGCAGGTTAGACTTTACACACAACTTCCCAACTCAAAGGGTCAGGAAAACTTGGACATGCTCTCCTTTCCCCCTTCATTAAGAAATGTTTGTTAAAGTTGAAGGATTGATGGCTTATTTGCCTTTTTCAATGCTTGGCACCTAAAACGTTGTTGGCAAATGACTGAATGAGCAACAGAGAATAGCAATTGTTACTGGTTGTTGTTAGGTGCCATCGAGTCGGCACCGACTCATAGCAACCTATGCACAGCAGAATGAAACAATGTCCGATTCTGGGCCAACCTCACTACTGTTGCCACACTTGAGTCCATCCATGCTGCCACTTGGCCAATCCATCTCGTTGGGGGTCTTCCTCTTTTTCTCTGACCCTCCACCTTACCAAACATGATATCCTTCTCCAGTGACTGGTCCCTCCTGACAATATATCCCAAGTGTGAGAGATGAAGTTTGGCCATTTTGGCCTCTAAGGAGCACTCTGGCTGCACTTCCTCCAAAATGGATCTATTGGTTCTTTTGGCACTGGTAGTGGCCGCCATATCCAAGGATGAGGAAGCTGAGACCCAGCCGGGTTAGCAACTTAAACACAACATGCCCAGCTCCTAGCCTAAGTTTGTTCATCTGAAAGATGGGGACCAAAACATCTCAAAAGAGATGGGAGACCGTCCTCTGAGGACCAAGGGGGAAATACTCTGGGAAGACAAGACAAGGGTAGAAGAGAAATGGCTTCCAGGGGTCACATGGGAAAACATCAGGGGAAGAAAGGTCTTGTTACATCTCAAGTGCCTGGCAGCCCTTTCCAAACACTCCCAACAGGAAGAGGGCAGACAACAAGGGCAACACACTGCTTTCTTCCTCTAATTCCTCCTAAACTTCAAGAAAAGGGCAGACTGTGCCTCTGGGACGCTCCCTCACACCTTAGACACATTTGGCTTCTTATCTGTAGTCAAGAGACTCCAGTGGCATAGTGGGCTAAGCATTGGGCTGTTAACCTCAAGGTCGGTGGTTCAAACCCACCAGCTGCTTCTATGAGAGAAAGATGAGGCAGTCTACTCCAATCAAGATCAACAGCATCAGAAACCATATGGAGTATCTCCGCTCCACCCTCTAGGGCTACTGTGAGTAGCGAGCGACTCAGTGGGCCAATGGGTTATCTGCAGTTATTTGCCTTTTTCATGACTTACGGACAGCCACAGCAAGTCTAAATGATGAACATTCTAAGGGAATTTACTGTGTTCACTTCCTCAGAAACTGGAGGAAATAAAATCATCAGCCTGTAAAATTCCCTTTGGTCTCAGGAAGTTGAGTTTCAGATCCGAAGAGAACATCTGTTTTAAACATCACTCTTGCTCCTCAAACCCTTCACATGAAATTAGCAGCCCTACGCTTCAGTTTCTGACATCCAGGCAAGTTACGTCATCCCAAAATGCTTCCCACACCAGCTGTAGATCAGCAGACACGCAGACCCTCTTCTGTCTGCAGGTGGGCAGATCCCTACTGTCAGATGCCTGTCTGGACTTGTCTGGGTCCCCTGACAGCCGTCAGGGGAGAAGAGGAAAGGAAATGTAATGAAATCAAGTGTGTCCAGCCTGGCCTCTGGCTTGTCAGTCTTGCCTTCTGATATCTCTTTGTACAGAAACAAAGAAGTGGCTTTCACACTTGAACTTGGAAAACAGACAGAGTGATGCAGTTGTGGACCATTGGCTTCGTGGGTTGGGCTAAGCATTCTGGCGGTTGATTTAAAATATGTTCCCACTGCATGGAGCCGTCTGGGAATGGGATAGGATCTTTTTGAAATGAAGTCCACACCCTCTGGACTTCCTATGTACAGGGCCACCTTCACCCGTGACTCAGGGTAGAGGGTGAGCAATAATTATTGGCTTGAGTTGAGCTGGGAAAGCCTTGGGAGATGTCCCTGCTTAGACAGATCTGGCTCCTGGGCAGCTGCTCTAACCTGTCTGTGGACATTCCATCAGCAGGATGCTGCCTGGCCATCTCGACTCACAGCCCCCCATATTCCCAGTCCTGAAGCTTGTCCATGCATACGGGTGTATACATAAGAGCCAACAGGCCCAGGCTGGCTGGCTTGTGTCTGCCTTGGGGACGAGTTGGAATGAGAGACAAGCTGTCTCTCTGCTGATTTCGGGACTCTTGGATCGGTTTGGAAGAGACATGCTGTCTACTTCTAAAACTCTCTTATGAGAGAGCTCATGCATTAGATCTCTATTTCTTATCCTCACATCAGTCCAGCCTCAAGTCTCCCACCCGAGTGAGTCCTTCACTCCGTCTCACTGGCCACTACCACCACCGTTATCTCCAGCCTCCTAACAGGTGCCCCCCTCTGCTCTTGGCACATTGAATTTCCTTGGCCTGAAACCTCACAGAAAAAACTTGCTCCTTTTCCTCTGGGGTTCTTCAGAGAGCTTTCTGTGGCCACTTGCTTCTGTACCCTGGACCCTTCCCAGTTCTCCTCCCAGCGGGTGGGTGGCTTGGAGCAAGTCCCGCATCTCTCTGGGCCTCAGTTTCCCCATCTGTAATAACAGTATCCAGCCCACTGGGCTGTTGGGAGAGATCCATGAATTGACATACAACAACCTGGGCACCAGCACGGGGCTACAGAAATGTCCCTTGTCCCGTGGTGGATCATGTTCCATCAGATCTTATGCGTTTAGGGGCGGGCCTTCCCTGAATAGTCACTGTGGCTGCCTGGGGCCAAGAACCGCCTGGTGCACATGACCCCCTTCAATGATCACAGCAGACCCTCCCTTCTCTGTCTACACTGACTCCCTACTGCTCCCAGCTGCTCAGAAGAAGCCCCCCTCCCTACTTGAGCCCCAGATGCAGCCCCCAGGGTGTGTCAGCTAGGGGAGTACCCCGCACCTTCCTGGATAACCCCCTACCCTGTCAGCTCTGTACTGAAGGGCAGTTCCTCAGGGGCCCTGGTGCAGCTGAGCTGGGGGTGGGGGGGTGTAGGGTGTGTCTGGCTCCAGAAAGGGACCCTGGTAGCTGGGCTCCCTTGCGGAGCATCCTGCTTGGCCCCTGCTTTCCCTGGCAAACCTTACATGGGTGAATGCTGCCTTTGGGGCCCCATACCCACTGGGTCCAGCTTCAGGGAGGGTGGGGGGCTAGTGAGGGCAAGGCTAGGGGTCCTCAACCACGTCGCTGGCTGGCTTCAGGCTCATCCATGAGGACACCAACCACTACGCTGACCAGGCTGGGGTGGAGGGGTGGGGGATACAGAGGTAGAAGGGGTGGGGGTTCAGCTCATGCCAAAAGTGTCTTGTCCTGTGGGTGCCCGGTGCTGTCTCAGGCGTTGGGAACTTTGGGCCGGGGCACCGCGCTCAGGGACTCTGCACTCCCTGGCAGGTGTGGGAGACACCGAGGGCCCAAGGGGCCAGGAGTCCCAGAGGGTGGCCACGGTGCAACCTGCTGGCTGCTATCCTTCCCCAGCATGGCCCTCAAACTCAGCTCCCTACCGCCCATCCTGGCTGCCCCTAGGGGCACCCCCAAACCTCGGCCTAGGAAGGGAGTGTCCCACCAAGTCCCAGTCTTGCGCTCTTTCTCGGGGCTCCGGACTCTGGGACGCTGGGAGGGCTGCTGCCAGCGGGGGCCCCGGACGACTAACTGCTCCCGGGACGACTAACTGCTCCCAGCTTGCGGAGGCGCGGCGTTCTGCGGGGGGCGCTCGAGCCGGCGGCCCCAGCTGGTCCCGGCCCTCCGGTCCACGTGTGCGGAGGGTGCGGCCCAGGACTCCCCTCCTCCCCCACCGCAGTCCCCCGTCAGCTGCGCTGCAGGTGTGGACACGGCTCCCGCCCTCAGGAGCCCTCACTCACCGTGCCCTCGGACGGCAGGTAGCCGATGTCCTCGATGGCGCAGATGTTGATGATGTGCACGCTGCGGTCCTCGGCCGGGAGCGTCGAGTACTTCTCAGGGACCCTCATCGCGGCTGCTTGTGCGCCAGGCCCGCCGGCCGGCGCGCCCTCCCCAGCCTCGGCCCCCG